ATCCATGCAGTTTGCACCATGTTGTGTAATGATCTCCTCCCTTCATTCACATCACCAATGAGGTCAGATGATGAATGATTCTGATGCACCTGCTATGCCACTGCTTGTTCTGAACTAGGCTGCTCCTCTGAACCAGATTTTCCCTCTAAACTATACTGCACGTCCGAATCAACGTTGTTATTTGGGCCCTTGAGGTCTGACTGTGATTGAAAGTCAGGTACTTTCATGTGGTGAGCCTTCACATGCTTCTCCTTGTGGCTCGGTCCACACATATTCTTATCTCCTTCCTTGAGCTGAGGCATTCTATGACCTCCATCTCTGAAAGTCATATTTTCACCTTTGACCTTCTTGATGTTCAGTAGGTTGGTCATTGTACCCACCATGTGGCTTGAACTCCCACCGTCGAAGTACCATGGACCCGTATTCTCTTGTTCTTCTGATACGCACGCCATGTTGCACTAAGAACTTAGTCTTGAGGCACTAGTTGAAGCACACCTTGTAGTAGTTGACTATAGATTCATTTTCTTCACCCATATCTGATTTCAGAACGTATTTGGTTTGAATTTTCCTTGATATCTGAGTTTCTTCACCCTTTCCCAGAACTTGTAACATAAGGCTTTGAAGTGTCCATACCTTCCACAAAAGTAACACTCATTTTTATGCACTGTAGTACTTCTGTGTTCTGCTGGATGAGAGAACCCTGCTGATACAAACTTAATATTTCCAGTTTCTTATTCACCTATTCCAGTATAACCCAAGCCTCTGTGGGATTTCTCAGTTCGTCCATAGGACAAGATCTTGTCAAGTTGTTTGGCACGAGCAAACATATGAATTTTCTTGTATTGAAGATCCAATTTCGCTTGAATCTGTGCATATACTTCCTTCTCAGCATGCAGTTCCTTCTCCAATAGATCAGTTTTGGTGGCCATAATCAGTTTCTCTTTCATCAGCGATACATTCTCCTCACTAAGTTTCTTTTCAGCATGTAGCTCAACTTGCACTGATTTGATATGTGCTTCAAGATGCTGTTTCTCTTTTATCAGCAACGTGTTCTCTTGTCCAAGCCTGGATGAGTACTTCACGTACATCCTTCTAGCTTTTAGCGAGATCGTCATTGAGTTCTTCATCAGATTCAGATCTGAATTGCTCGTCATCAACCTCGACAATTCCCTAATAAGTGAGAAAACTATTCACGATTTCTTAATCCTCATTCTTTTCTTAAATTCTTCTTCACTATACATGGATGTATCCTTTTTCGTTTTTGATCATTAACACACTCTAGATG